TTACTGTGGCGATATAAACCGACATGATAACCCCGTTTTTATATCAATAGATTGTACAACACGTACGACTAAAGAAGTCAGTGAGTATGTTGCTACAGCAACTTTTCATTATGCAGAGATTATTTATGAAGTCACGTTACCAATGGCAACGGCACCTTTACCGGTAAAATTGGTGAATGTTCCCATAGTTGCAGCAGTCATCGTGGGTCATCCGGTAGGTGTTGCAGCTGTTCCATTAACTGAGACTACAGGTGGATTCGCTAATTCGCGCTTGACGAAACCAGTGTTGCATGGAAGCTCTACAGCCGAAGCATTACCTGCTGCAAGGGTGGCTGCTACATTGTTTGCATTGTTGATGAATCCTGTCTCCGCTATTCGAAGCAGTCGATGAAAACCCAATCGAGCTGACATCATCTGGATAGAGCAAAGCCGAAGCTCCGTAAGATTTCACATCATCGTCACTCCACTCAGTCATTGCACGAAGATTGTTCCAGTGTGAAAGATAACCTGATGGAGTGACAATGGTCTTACCGTTCAATTCGATTTGAACTTTATCAATAATCGTTGCTATATTACATTTGAGACCAGCAACGAATTGTGTCATAGCAGCAGCTGTTCCAGCAAGAGCACCAGCCCCTGTGTTCTTAATTGTAGCAACAAACGGAACGGTAATGTATGCATCACGAAGCGAGGCGTATCCCTGGGAGCCATTTAGTTGATTCGTTGCGTCCAGGGTGACGATACCTTTCGTGTAGGATCCTTGATTTAAATCAATTACATAGGACATCGATTTACCCTTTAAGACGCTGACTGATTGATCAGGGCCCGCCGTAGCGGATTCATGGAGAAATTCATCTGTGAGTTGAGTAGTCATAGTTGCTTATATTCGTATCAATATAGTTTCGTTTAGAATTTTAAATAAATGAACGGCTTGACGTCTGATCACGAGCTAGAAGATCTTGCAAAAAATTAAAAATCCAGCTCGATGGAGTGATCATAATCGAAGAAGCGAAGGCTATTATCAAGCGAGACGGTTGATATATCATTTTACTCCATGAAGGAGATAACACTGGACACTGGGTTTGCTATGACAGAGGATCATACTTTGATAGTTTTGGTGAGCCTCCATCTCGATCATTACTCAAATTCGTAAAAAAGTATAATCGCAAGCAATAGCAGGCTGTAGAGCAAAACTTCTGCGGGCAGTGGTGTCTCCTGTGGTTATATTCGAGGCAATACAATCGACCAGATTTACCTGATCAAATGAGTGATCTGAATTACTGAGGTAGAGTCAGAAACGAAGTTTCATCCCTCACTGCTACTGTCGTCAGACTTCCCTTCGGTTCTGTCTGAGCAAAGCTCATTACTGAAGCTTGGTCTGAAGCTCATCGATTCTTTTTTGCTGTGCTTTGAGAGCCAAATGAAGGAGCACACAGATCCTAGAATAATCGACGCTGAATTGTACATCCTTAATATCGACGGATTCATCTTCTACTTC